TTTTCCGGCGTTTAATTTTCAGGGTATTTTTTTTTTCTTCATTTGATAGCTACAGCCTCTCGACCTTCATCGCAAATACTTGGGACAAATATTTAGGTCAAAACCCTGTGAGTTTCTCTCCTATTCTCCAGTTCAGAGCAATATTTTGGTTTTTCAAAGGCCTGTCTCAGCCGTCAAGCCGAAGCCACTTTCGTTGACCTGCAGCTCTCAAATGGAGCCACACTATTATTTTTACACGCGCGCGTTGCTTCTCCTAATCTTTTTTTTTTTTTGTCTCAACCACCCAGTTATCCCTTCCTCTTTTATTTTTTATTTTTTTTTTTCATCTCTTCTGCACTGTGTAAACCGTGCATTCATTTGTTTTATTTGCATCGCGCCTTTATTATTTTTACAAACCGGGCGGATAGGAACATATCCACCACGTCGTCCTCCTATTTGCCCCCAACGACAACCCTGTGAGGTAGGTTGGGCTGAGAGAGAATGGCTGGCCCGAAGACACCCAAGTGGCTTCCGTGGCTAAGTCGGGACTAGAACTCACCGTCTCCTGGCGATTGACTCAAAGTCACCCAGTCGGGTTTTCGTGGCTAAGGAGGGACTTGAATTCACGACCTCCCCTTCCATCTCCTTCCTCTTATTCAGTTGAGCGCATTAAAAAAAAGGCACTATTATCAAATTTTATTTGGGGTGGGGGGAGAAGAGAGGCAGGGTGTCTCAGTGGAGCTTATATCTGAACTTTTGGAGGCGGCTTCAGTTGTGACAGCGCTACCCCAGCCTGCTTGGCTAAACTAATTACATCATGGCTTATTCAAACCAGCGTTTTAGGTGGCAGATCCAAGGATGCTAAAATAGCGCTGAGCTAAAAATGTAATTTCTTAAGGCGTGGCTCTGGGGGTTTATAACAACAGGGCTGGCAAAGCAGAAATATTGCTAGCCAGTTTTGCGTGGCAATAAGCTCTGAAACCCGGCTTGGTGGGCAGTTAATGCCAGGGAGCTAGAACGCGCCATTTGGAGACCTATCTGAGGTCTCTAAATCCAGCCTAAGACAAATGCACGGAAGCTGGTTTTATTTTATTGCCCTGTACAGGGAAAAACAAGCCGTTTTCGCCTCTTTAAAATAAATGGGGGGAGGGGCTTTTTTTTTAAAAAAGGATCCTGTGGCTGATGAGGAACATCTTGGTGATTCTTCCCCCCAGATTTTGCCAAGCTACCCCTTTGATTAACCACGGTTTAGCAATTCACCGATTTCAAAGAGTCTGGACTGCGTTGAATCCCCCGTTAAGCCACCATTGTCGTTCGTGGGTTCTCCCCAAGGGCTAAGGACCCCAAAGCTTATTGTCTGAATCCGGGGTACAGATTCCTGCATTCCTGCCTCCGACACGCTGCGTACCACCCCTCCCCTCTCCACGCGGACTTGCAGACACGTGAGTTTGCCCTGGAGCGGCACAGCTCGTGGCAACCTCGCTAATGTGACAAGTAGCTGTCATTAACAGAGTACTGCTAGGTTGATCCCCGTGTCTGAGCTACTCGTAGCTTCTGGGTTCGGAATAGACTTCCCACGAGATATATATATATAAAAGACTCTGAGTTTCTGTTCCGAAGGCATGGTTACTTAGAGATAACGCGTTACTCAGAATTAACTAAAGGTTTACTCAGAGAATCCCGTTTTCTGAAGCGGCACAGCAGGACTTGCCCAGCGGGCTTCTCCTAGTCCCCGAACTGGCCCGAGCTAACTTCTTCTAGGCTGACCCAACACACTGACCTACAAACTAAGCAACCGAGATTCAAGCTTAACTGCTTGTGTGAATGCAGCCGCGGCTGGATCTGGTGCCCTGGTGGACTCATTTGGTGAGCCCTAAAAGAGACCCGGGTCCACAGACCTGTCAACAAAACCGTGGGGTGGGGGATCAATGGGGGCAGGGAGGGAGGGGAGAGGTCACCTCCCCAGCCATTTCAAGCCCAGCTATTCTAGATGGCTGACGTGTGCGGACGTAGGGGCACAACCTAGCTTCGTCCGAAACAAGCCAACGTTGGCCACTTCGTTCGCCACCTTGCCTGGATCCCAGCCACCCAGCAGTTTCGGATTCACGGCTATAGCGAACCCGGTCGTTCAGGTTGCTAATTCTGGGCTGTTCCTTACGGACGCGCGTCTTTGAGACCGCACAACCGCGGTGGGACAGGTAGATGAGCAGAAGAGACCAGATTCGGGGGTCCCACGAGCCTCCAGTAAGGCTAGGCAAGGCTCGGCCGTACGTTTCCTGAAGCCGCGCTCTGAAAGGCGGTTGGATTTCAGCTGCCAGTCGAGGGGACGGCAGCCGGGAACGTCCTAAGCGCGCCGGGTCGGGGAAGACCGGGATACCTTGCTGGGCAGCTGCGCCTCCATCCCG